TGATGATGATGGTGGTGGTGGCGGTGACGACTCTCTGAGGAATAGCTGAAGCCCATCCGTTGGCCAGGCTTGCAGTGGAGCCCCCCCGTCGTATCTCCTGCCCGGCTTTGATCCTTTTGCTCCGGTGCTGCCGGCGCGCTCTTGGTCGCGGGAAGCGAGGAAACGGGGCGGGGACGGGCCGGCCGGCCGCCCGGTTCCTGGGTCAATTCTGGGGGCTCCTTGTGGGGGCGATTTGCCCAAACGGGTCTGAGCTCGTGGGACTCGGTCGTGAGGAACCCGTCGATTCTTGGCGCTTCGGCTCTTGGGGGGCTTCCGATTCCTCGCTCCCCAGCCGCTAATTATTTTTGTAATAACCCTTACTGAAAGTTTTAACAGCAGGAATAAGGACTAATGCAAACTAAAATGGAACAGAGAAACCGAAAAGGAAAAAGAAAGAAAAGAAAAAGCTAAAAGTGCACTAAGGAAAGAAAAAGTAGAAGAAAAGAGGAAAAAGAGAGAGAGATAAAGAAAGATATAAAGAAGGGGCTTCAATATTCTTGACACAGTTATAAGTGCAACTATATTTTAGCCTCTCTCTAAAGTTACATCATGACTGTCTTCTTTCTATAATCTGTCCCGTCTAATCATCAAAGCCATAAATCAGAAGTTCATCTTTTTTTCATTTGTATGCAGAAAGTCCGCAAGGACAATGATGAGAGTGTAAGAAGAATGTAATCGTGATAAATGCAACTGTTTGTATTTCAAGGCCGCTACTTCCTGGTCGGATGAGCTGGACATTTTATTTCCTTGTAGCAATGGCAGAAAGCGGCTTTGGTGATGAAGCCATTTCTCCATTTGATTTCTTCATTTGCAGTCGATAATGGCCGTAATCAAGATTTGATTGATTGATTCACTTGCAATATATAAATACGCTGGCCTACCTTACAGGCCTGTTGCAAAAATTAGCGGAGCAAGGTGTGCGAAGTAAAGTTCTTCAGATTAAAGCCGGTTTTACTACACTTGGTAAACTGCTTTGCACAGTAAGTGCATGATGATCATGATGATGATCATGATGATGATGCCACCTTCACGCTTAATATGCTCTATTAATAATAATAATAACAAAAATAAATTGGCACTCACCGAATCAAAAGAACACAATCTCCCTTTAGGGCTGCTTCAAACGTTGCGGCTGAATTGCAATTTTTACTATGAGGGGGGAAATGTATAAAAACGTAATGCTGTTATTTGTATTGAAGTGGTTAACTTTGAATTCAATTCAAAAGTCAATCGTATATGTCATTTTGCTCTGCCATTCGATCATGCCCCTCTAAGGTCAGTTGTATTTTAATGTTTCAAAGTAGAAATCTGGTTCTTTGAACCCCTTAAAAACCAGAGCAATCTAGAAAAGAGAGTTTGAAAATTGGGCTTAAGTTGCTCGCGCGTTCAAGCCCTTTGGGTCGCCTCATGGCCTCCCCTCCTACCCCACAGGACCGTTGTAAGAACAAGAGGGAAAGGAGTCCACATTCCTAGTGGTGTGGAAATAATAATAAAAGGGAGCAAGGGAGCAAGGGCGTGTTGCTGGATTCCCTGTCTGATCTGATAGCAGACACTGATTTCTCTTTTCTCGCCCGATCTAGAAAATCACGTCCGAGATGGCAGAGTTTCTGCAGGCTTTGCGGCAGAAGGTGAAAGTCGGCGTCGTGGGGGGCTCGGACTTCGAAAAGATTCAAGAACAGCTGGGGGCGGACGGTAAGAAGGCAGGGTGAGGCGTGGGAAGCCGAGCCAGGCGTGGCAAAGGAGGGTGGCGTGTGCCGCCATCGTGGGTTGGGCAACTGTCCTCGCCTTCCTTATCAAACTCGCTTCGGCGGTCAGCTTGCTCAAATATAATCCACGCTTGTCAGCTGAGCATACCGAGAACGTGCCATGTGGCAAAGGGCAGCCATTTTCAGTCTCTTCGTGAGCGAGCTGCCTTAAATTGGATTAAAAGCCCACTCCTGTTTTCAGGTTGGAGAAAACATGTGGCTTGAAATCAGGGAGGCAAATCTCTCGCAGCTCTTCAGCCCGGTGGCTCGTTGGCTTCTGTGAATTTAGAGAGAATATCTTTCTGAGAAATAAGCCTTGGGGGGGAACAGCAAAGCTGCTGATTAGATGAACGGTTTGCCTTTGTGTTTCACCCCCAAGCCACTCGTTTGGGATCCTTATTATTATTTAACGGCAACTTTATGATTACGGTTTGCAACCAGCCAGGAGAAAAATCACAGCATCCGTGCAGAACCGAGTCCAAAAGAAGAATTTAATTCGAAGAATAAGGAGTGGTTTGAACGTTTCATGCCGAAAAGTCTTTTAAAAAGTCGCTTTCAGCTTTACCGAAAGAAGAGCAAACATATATCCAATAAAATGCAACTCATAAAGAGCATTGGCCAAAAAAAAAAAAAAACAACAACAGAGAATCCATTATTCCAGTATAGAAATGGCACTTAAAATCAAGCTGTAGAAATACCTGGCAGACCTAATGCCAAAAACGTATCACGTTAGACACCAGGTGTGTTTTGGGGGGGGGGGTTGCCATAAGGACACCCATTCAAGAAGGTCCCCTCCCCCAGCTCCCTTCATGGAGAGGATTATTACATTCATTAGAGATTTGCAGTCCTTTAGATTTGAAGATTCTTTCGATCACTTTTTGGCGTTCTGAGGTGCAAACTCCTTCAAACAGCTGTCCCTTTTACCAGAATTGGCAGTATCGTCCGAGGAAGAGAGATATTTGATTTAAGGGTCTGCTGGCAGGTGCTTTGGGCTCCCAAGCACCTTTTTTGCCTTCCGATCTGCTGCTGCCTTTAGACCTGCAGTCTTTATCTCCCCCGCCCCGTCCCCTTTCCTCCGGAAGCACCAGGTGGCCTTCTGAGATCTCCTCCTCCCTTGCAATTATCTTCACAGCAACCCTTTGAGGTAGGTCGCCCGAGAGAGACAGACCAGCTCAGAGTTGGTTTGAACCTGGAGACAAACTGGTTCCAAATAGCCAGCTTTGTTTTCAAAGATGTCTTTGGCCTGTTTGGGGCCGAGGGTGTTCTTGTGCAGTACGCAAACGTGATGTTGGAAACCGTCACTTTGGTTTGTAACAAACCAGTTCCCTGTGTCGTTTTTTGTCATCTAAAAATCTTAATAGAGGAGGAGAGATTGGCAGTTATTCATGGGCATGTTTTCTGCACGATGTAGTGTAAATTGACTGTAATCAGTTTAACCAATTGCTTTGAGGTTGCTGGGCAGAGTTTTTTTTAATCTGTCAGGGCATCATGAGTTCAGAGGAGGGAAGAGGAAAGAAGACTTTTCTGTTAATTTCATGGAAATTTCCCCTGAACTGAATAATACAAATTAAAGTTTCTTTGTTTTGTTTTTTTCTTCCTTTTTTGGAGGTTAGTGGTTGGAAAATATGACTATGTTTTCCCAGAGAATGGTCTGGTGTCCTACAAAGATGGAAAACTTCTTAGCAAACAGGTAGGTTTGTGAATTAGGATCTGGTGACTGTTTGAGGGGCTGGTTTCAAATAATGCAGTGTTTTATTCTGCCTTGGTGGCCAGTAGACCATCGGGTAGGGCATCAGGCTTATAAATAGGGTAATGTTGCAAACTTACTGTGTAACGTCTGATATTTTGGGATTAATGCAGGATTAGACATTACAATGTGATTGAGACCCGTAATAGAATTCACTGAGCCTGGAAATGGGAGGGTCCATTTGCAATATATGACAGGACCAGAAAACAGCTGCTGTTTGAATCCGGCTTCAAACCTGAAGCATTTTGACTGGAATGTCAAGTGTCAGTCTGCCTGTGCTCACCAAAATTCAAATTCTGCATTTTCCCGAGGAACCTGTCTTTCGGCAACGGGGCTGGCAATGTGAAGGGTTGTACCAGGTATCCTTCATGGAGGGGACGGTTCTCAAAGGATGATTTGGCATCAGACGAGCAATCCTTTCCATTCAGTGTGACAGAACAAATCAGTGCCAATTGAATCCCCAAAATAATTTTTCAGTCTTTGGGAACGTTCCACGCAATCCCATTTTGCCAGGCCAGGAATTTTGTGGGCAACAAAGAACAGAAAATAAATTACAGTGATGTGGGGTGCAGTGAAAAGAAAAGGAAGGGAGCTCCAATGAACATTTGACCCTATCATTTCTCACCATGTTTAACGAGTCCTTGTATTTGTTGGAAAAATACATGGAATTCAAATGGAGAACACTGGGTTGTGATATAATATGTGATGGATATAATGTTTGAGTACGCCGTATCATGGTAAGAGAGAGCTTTTCTGTCACGAGGATAAATATAATAAAATAAATATAAATGTATTGTAAATATAAATAGATAAATATAAGATAAATCTCTGAAATCAAAGAGTGAGGGGATTCTAAAAGTGTAAAGAGTGAAGAAAAGTTATGTGCAAAACTTTCTGGGAACAAAATGTTCTGGAAATTACATTTCTTCTTCTCTGGACCCTGCTGATCTGGCAGTTTTCTGGTGGTTTCCCTGAAATTAATCTTCCAGATTGGTGCAGTAGGGAGAGAAATGGAGTGTTTCATTTTCAGGGATTGTAGGCTTAGCCCGCCCCTAGGAAAGAAGGTTGCCTTCATTTCTTCAGCTACAGAGAATTGTGCGAAGAGCGTAAAATGCTTTGAGATTGAAACACTCTAGAACAGTATTTCTCAGCCTTGGCAACTGAAGAAGATCCATTCAGTTTTCCAAGAGACTCTGGTCCTCCATCCTGCTGCCGCCATCTTTTCCTCTCCAAAAAACTGTCTGTGGCCTTTTTGACCATGCTTGGTCCTTTGTGGGCTTCACAGGGGAGGGAGGGGGGTCCTTGGGTTGCCCCTTATGTTCATTTAAGATAATCTAATTTATGATCATTGGCCATGGGTCAAGGCACGTTGCCTTCAGTGGCCCACCAATTTGGTTGCCTGTTTGGCTGTGGTGAGAGGCGAGGTGGACCTGTGGTCAAATCAGGGCTGCTGAAAACGCGTTAAAATCACCATGGGGGGACCCTGCCCCATCCAGTCCCTGCGTGGTCAGTAAGAATCTCCCTGATTCCAGAAGAAACAATCCTCCAAGCTTTGGGAAGTAGGACCAATGTTGCGCTGTGTTTTTATTCCTCGAGGGTTGCTCCTTGGGGTTGGGGACTCTGGTCTGATTCTTCTTTGTGTCTTCTGGCAGAGCATTCAGGACCACCTGGGCGAAGAGGTGCTCCAGGATTTGATCAACTATTGCCTGAGTTACATTGCAAAAATTAAGCTGCCCAGGAAAAGGTACGTACAATTGTGCTTTCCTGTAGGCAGCCCGTCCTTGAAGAAGAGGCGTGGTAACCCTTCGGATTAGCATTTCCTGAGAACTCTGCAATATCAAGCCAGAGTGTTTTGAATCCAGCACTCTGGGAAAAGCCACACCATGAAGGTTGGAGATGTAGAAGTCCACGCATGGAGGAACAGGCTCAATGCGTCAGATTGGATAAATACCTTGCTGTTGTTCTGCAGTGAGTCAGGCAAAAAATGTGCTCCTTGACAAAATATTTATCCAATCTGACTCACTGAGCCTGTTCCTCCATGCGGAATAAACACGTCAATCTGGACACATGTAAAAAATTCCCTGCATAGACTAAACTAGCATCTCAAGGAGAGAACCCTGCCAAGTATCTCTTGTCTGCTAGTTTTCAACCACTTGTACGGAGGAAATGCAACCCCGCTCTACAACAATGAGAACACCTACTTTACGACTCCTTTTTGCGTAGTGTGGCTCTTAGACGTTATAATTTGTGCTAGAAACACTCCTCAAAGGGGTAATTTCCCTTGGCAAGAAGGTGTGCCATTGCTCTGGTTGAGTGCAGCCTTAAACCTTCCAACTAGAGAAGGATTTTCTTAACCAAGTTCAGAAACATGTTGATTCCCAGGGGAGGGTCATTTGTCTCTGCTGTCCCCTCCCCCAGCAGACTTGGTTTATTCCCCTTTCCAATGATATATGTGATTATTTCTTTTTCAGGGGCACTTTCATTGAATTCCGAAACGGGATGCTGAACGTTTCCCCCGTTGGCAGAAGCTGTAGCCAAGAGGAGCGGATGGAGTTTTTTGAACTCGATAAGGCAGGTGACTGGGTCGTGTCTTATGGTTCAGGTTCCTCCTTAGGGATCTGGGGTTTGTCAGGGGTCAGCTGGTCAGCCTGTAGAGGAGGTAGGAACCGAGCCAGGCTTAGGCTGGATGGACCTTCACTTAACCATGGTTAAGCAATTTGGGGACACCTGGGTATTTTTAAGGGGTGTGATGGGTGCCCTAAGCAAGTTATTTCACCACTCCAGCATCCGGCCAAACTCCCAGAAATTGACTTGACTTTTCTGGGAACTGCAAATAGACTGGGGGGCTCAAGGGGTTTCTGGGCCATCTGCTTTACTACCATTTCTGAAGCCAATCTGTGGGGCACAGACATGGAATTGTGGGGTTACAGTGCAAACGGGTATGCCCAGAAGTAGACTCCCTTGAATTCGGGGGAGATACCCCTAAGTAACTACATACACACTAGCTACCTGGTTAGCTGCTTTGATGATCCAGGGCAAAACTGTCAGTCCTACCAGTTAGACCAGACCAGGAAATCGATTCCACCGGAAGGCTAAAACTATATTTATGGAGACCGGCTGTAAGAACAAAATCTTGCCAGTCTGCTTGTACTGCCTCCTCCTCCCTATACTTGAGCGAATCAAGGAGGTGTCTGTCTGAGCCACCTTTGAATGTTATCTCCTTGTTCTGACTTAAAAAAGTGTTTCAGCCCCCTTTGCTTAAGTAATGATTCTTGCCTGTTTCCATCAAGATCATCTTCTTTACTCTCCACAATGATATAGGAAGTTATCTTGGTGTAAATCTATTCTGTGATTGGGGCAGCAAGCAAACATTGTGAACATCTGTCTGTGACACTGAAGCGGTTAAGAGCTGGTGCTGTCTTTAAGGACACGTGATGCACGTCATGGCTTTGCTTTCTGCAGTATGACCTTATCGTAGTGAGAACAACCTTAAATGCAAACTCTCCTATTAGTAGCTACGTGGCTCTCCATCCCTTGCAACAGGCTAGACTTGAGCAATGGATAGGCACCCCAGAATCCAGGGTCTTCTGACCAGGAATGTTAGTGTAGGAGGAAAACTCTTCTGAAAGAATTCCAGCAACTTTTGTGTTTCAAATCAGTCTATTGAATCAAGTTTATCTTAACTTTTTTTTCCTCATAACTTTTGTGTTTCAAATCAGTATACTGAATCTGCAGTTAGGCAGCCTAGACGTTTGACAAATTAATCATAATAAATGTTTGAGGGCCTCTTTCCTACGCAGCTCCCCACACCTTTTTCTGGTGGGGCAGGAGACCCGGTTTCCATCAGTCCCTTGTTTTGGAACAGCCATGTCTGCTCCTACCTTGTTTCTCTCTGCCTGTAAGAGAGCTCTCATATCCTAAAGCTTTTGTGGGCTAGAAGCATGACATCTGTCACTTTTTCAATGTAACCTCTTGCTGATGGAAATCCTGGGAAATGGATTAACACCTTCAGAGGGAAGACCCTTTGAGTGGACTTTCCAAAGGAAGGGGGCGTTACAGGGGGTTAGTTTGTAGACCACGTCCTGAGACACTGAGGAGCTTCACAGATGGCTTCCTCTCTCTGAGAAGACGTGGGGCACAATTTTGGTGGCCCGGCCTCCACGCAAGGCCGTGGTGCAGCTCATCCCCCAGGATCCGAGGCAACCAAGTAGGGTTTTATGGCAGACGCGCCGCAGCAGAGGATCTCTGCTGGCAGGAGGAAGCCAGAAGGATGCTGGGGAAAATCCATCTCCTTCCCTAAACTGATACACCTTTTTTGCTTGTATTTCTCTGAACAGCGGGAGCACATCCGAGAGAGATTTGTAGCCGATTTACGCCGTGACTTTGCAGGAAAAGGCCTCACGTTTTCCATAGGTACCACTTTTTAAGAACAGAAATAGAAAATGGCGTTCAGAAAGTATCTTAATTGTCTGCATCTCCTGAAAGTCACATTAACAGAGGGCCCTCTTCTCTTCCCCCGTGCTAGCCTAGCGGCGGCCCGTTTCCTGGGGAAGAAGCCCCACTGGGGTCCAAGGATTTCCCAGGCAGCATGAGGAGAGGAACAGCCCCAGTCTGCAAAGCGTTTGCTCTTTTTCTCCAATTTGCTCTTTTCCAGGGGCGCCCAGAATCCTGATGGGAATTAAAACCCCTTTCAGGTGGGGGGGCACCAAGTTGGAGAAAACTAGGCTGATTTGGCAATACAGGCAGTCCTTGAGTTATGATAGCAATTGGGACCAGAATTTCTGTTACTAAGTGATGTGGTTATAAAGCACATCACATGACTGTATTGCTTAGCAACAGTAGTCCTGGCAGTCCTCCTTGCCGTTGTTAAGCAAGGATCACGGGCCATTAAGCGAGGACCTCTTCGCAACTACCTGCTGGCTTCCAACAACCAAAGTCAGTGGAGAAGCTGGCAGGAAGTTGCAAGTCCTAGGTGGCTTGCAAGCAGGCCAGCAGGCAGGTAAGTGGCTACTGCCGGGTGTGCAAGTGGCCAGGGAGGCATGGCGTGAGTCCCATGAGGCTCAGGGAGGGAGTGCAGGTGCGGGAGACTTACCTGAGCAACTTGCGACCTTCCCTGCTGGCCTCCCCTTTGACTTTGCTTGTGGGAAGCCGGCCGAGGTTGCAAATGATGATCGCATGACGCAGGATGCTGCAACCGGCCGTGAACACAAGCTAGTTGCCAAGCGCCCAAATTTTATTCATGTGACCATGGGGGCACTGCAAGGGCCAGAACTTTGAGGACTGGTCATAAGTCCCTTTGTTCAGCGTCGTAACTTTGAACAGTTGTTGAACAAGTGGTTGGTAAGCAAGGACTACTTGTAGCAGCCAAAACACACAGCAGAAATGTCCGTTGTGATTGTCAGATATAGAGACAAGGGGAATGCAACTGAGATGCTGAGTTTTGGATGCAACAAACATTTGCTGTGGATTTTCAGATTAATGCTGAGATCCTTGAGGGGATGGGACAGCTCAAGAGTTGTAGTAGTAGTAGTACCGATGATGAAGATGATGATGCCACCCGATCTGCCCAAGAATTGCAGTCTTAGCCTGCAATTCCATAGCAATGAATAATAATAATAATTATTATTATTATTATTACTATTATTATTATTGTCCTTTAACAATGTGTAGAACAAAACAGAACAGCACAGTGTCAACAATCCAATCAATTTAGCTCAGAAACCACTCAACAAATACTGACATTAAAACACTACTTTTAAAACACCGTCCTAGGATAGGACGGGGTCTCGGTACATCCATAATAATTTACAAGCTCACAGCTGGTGGCATTTCCCCCTTGGAGGTCACAGACCAAACTCCGGTTTCAAGGGAGGAAGTCTGACATCTCACACAAACACCGCTGCCAGCCTTCAAGGTGGGCTCTTTCAGGGCTCAAAAGTAAAAGGGTGGAGTGGAAACACGCCATCATTTGTCAGGTTTACTGTGAGGAGCAGTGGATCTCCAGAATCCCCAACTCTTCGGGATGAGAGACGTGTACCCAGATATAACCTACAGCAGCTTCATAGCTGGCCAGAGATGTTGTCCCACCTGAGGGTTTCTTCTTGGATTTCTGGGAATCACTGGATTTCTAGAAATTGGGCTGCATTCCCCATCAAAGGTAGCATTGCCCTGTTGGAGGGACATCTGGATCAGGAGATGTCACTATCTAGGGCCAGAACTGAACTCTCTCTTGGCCTCTGAGCAAGGCAGTGTTCACTCTGGTTCTGGATTCTGTGTCTCCCCTGCATTCTGAGTCTTTGGATTTTTACTCCATCCAAAGCCACCCTTGCTCGAATCAGCTCCATCGCTTCTGTCGCTCAGCTCACCGTCCTCACCCCTCTTTTATCTCTCCAGGAGGGCAGATCAGTTTTGATGTATTCCCCAACGGTTGGGACAAGCGGTACTGTTTAGGAATTGTTTCTCAGGACAACTTCGAAAAGATCTACTTCTTTGGAGATAAGACCATGCCGGTGAGTATGAGACCAGAACAGGCTGGTCAGGTCCAAATACTGCTTCGAGACAAGGTGACCCAGTGGAATTGCAACAGGGATTCTCCCTAAAAATACCAGTGTAAAGATCATGGTGGTGCTCAACTTGTGGTGGTACCATAACATGTCCTTGCACTGTTCTTTGGCAACAGCATTGGATACATTTCTTCCTGGATGTTTTTCAGTTTCCAAATCTACCCTCCAGACCTGAGATCTCCTGCTGGCTTCCTATCCAAGTGCTAACCATCCCGACCCTATCTGGCTTTCCAAGATCAGCCATAAATGTACCCCTCTCTTTTTTTTTGCAAACAGATAACAAATCGTGGCAGTTGAGCAAAGTGGCAAAGGGATGGCTTCATTATTTCATTGCAACTTTTGAAATAATGAAAAGAAACCTGGTGGGTTTTTTGTGAATAAACTCATCTTTTGTGAGTAGTTTCCTCTGGGTTTGGGGAAAAGAGGCCGTTTTGAATCCCACACATGAAGGGAGAAAGTTTCTCTTCTGTAGAATTCTTTCTTCTGGAACATAGTTGCCAAAAATCAGGACAGAATTTTGAGCAGAAATACTAATGTTGACCTAATTGTTCAATGACAGCAAAGAAGTGCATTTTCTGAGCAAAGTGGGCCTAACAGACTTTTCTTCTTCTTTTTTTCCCTTGGAATCCATTTCCTCAATTGTTTGGTCTCGTTTGCAGGGTGGGAACGACTATGAAATTTACACGGACCCCAGAACCCTCGGCCACAGCGTCTCTTCGCCCGAGCAGACGAGAGAAATTTGCGAAGCCTTATTTCTTAAATAGATGATGGACGTCCTTTGCACTGAAGGAAAGCAAGCCAGGTTCAGGACCAATATTTGAAAACTGTCGGAGGAAAGGTTGGGGTAGAGTCAGCACTGCGCGGGAGGAGTCCCAGCTATCCTGCCCAGTTGGCTGTTCTGAGTTCACACATTGCACTAAGCTATGGTTTCTTCCCCTCCATTTGAGGAAGGAACAGTTGGGTTTGCACTACACAATGAGCCCTAAACCAGGGGTCACCAACCATCATCGCACAGCTCGCTTCCCCAGGATAACACAGCAGGTTTGATGGCTTGGCGCAGTTTGTGGACCAGATCTGTCTTGAGAAGGAAGCGGCCATTTTCCAAGTGGAAAGCAGAGGGGTGGGGGGTGGGGGTCTCAAGTATGGAGTCACCCAGACTCCTAACCTCTGGTGGGAGGCCTTGCACCGGTAGTCTGGCTTCGGGGACGAGTCCTCGCAGTGGAGACATTTTCTCAGCGTGGAAGCAACGGCAGGGTTCGATTTGTCTCCGAAGGCCGGTTTCTGATGCACCTCAGAATGCCCCTCGTCCCCAAGCAATTTGTGGGAACAGCTCACGAGACGTGCACGGCTTCACGTGTGCCGAGGCCTCCCAGAAGCCATCTGTGGGGTAAGAAATACTCCACTGGCCATAAATAGGTAATCCACCCTCTTATGTTTTTCTAGCTGCTGAGTAGCTCTCAAACACTACTGTTGGGTCACGGTTCAGTCTTTCCGCAACGGAAATGTCCAGTGACATTTGGGTGCCTTCTGACCCCATTCTCCCTCCCTCCATTCTCCCTCCGCCCCTACAACCTGGTCCTTCCCCACACTGTGTGCAGAGCCATTTTTGGGAAGGTAGTCCAAAACATCTGGAGAACGTTCAGAGAGGTCCTTTCTTTTCCCTGAATCCACCCTTGTTCTGAACCCTTCGTCACTCTGGGGCAGCATTTGGTGGTTCCTTTTATGTTTGGAATTTAATGGACTGGAGAAAGAGTGGAAGAGACCACAGTGCCTCCCGCGGGCATTTTAAAGTCTAAAAAGATGGGTCAACTTGCTCGATCTGCCGTTAGATTTCTGGAAACTAAACATACAGTAAACATCAATCTGGATCATCTCTCATTAAAATCTCTCTGAATAGTCTGCTTTTTCTGTCCAGTGTTTGGCCTCCGCAGGGCTTCTCTTCCCTGAAACCAGAAACAGCCGCTGGACTGGAGCCATCACAAGCCTCAAATGCTCTTCATCCTGGCTTGTAGCGACTTCAAAAACAGGCGTTATTCTGCCTCCTGCGACATTTGAAGTCCACCTTTGAATGAAGTTGGAAGGAGGGTGGAACTTACACAAAGCTAGTTTTAAAATGAAGACTCCGCTTAATTAAAGCTAGCCAGCCCCTCCAAAGAAGAAGAATCAAATTCACCGCTTTCAAAACACAGTTTCTGAATAAACCACAGCAAGTTGGGTTTGTTCCCTTAACACAATTTTTTGAAAATATGTCGGACCCGAGTTTCAAATCCTACATGCCAGTTGAAACCATTATTTTGCACCACTGCGCTGTCACCATTTTCATATTTCTAGGCAGTCTCTACGTCTTTGTACGTTAACATAAACATGATGTTTTTAAGAACGACTGCACACATCCAGGTTTGATCGATTTAAAGTTGTGGTTCTAGGTTTCTAACATCTGGCGCCACATTTATGCCCGGGGAAGCGCATACAGGAAACAAGATTTTCTATAATCACAGCCCTGTAATTAAAGTTACAGGAATGCCTGGTGAACTTACAGCGTGCAAAATTCAGCCCCTTGAAATATTCAGATGTAGGAGAAGCCATGTTAGCAGCCAAAAATCAGGAGTGTCTTACCACCTTAGACCAGTGTTTCTCAACCTCGGCAACTTTAAGATGGGTGGACTTCAACTCCCAGAATTCCCCAGCCAGCATGGCTGGCTG